CCCCGTTCAAAGTGAATGGGAAGCGTCTCCGTTGAAGCACGCAACGCTGCCGTGTGGACGTACCGTGACTCGGCAAACAGTGATTTATAAATATATGACCATTAATCAAGTGTAACCAACGATATTTAAAAGTTATATTCCTGAATATCAGTGTTTTTATAGTCCAACACAATTTCATGGCCTTTCTTTGACCTTTCACATGCATATTTCTGCTCGTAGCCTGGTGTTACTTTCTGACCACATTCTGCTCCACACTTCCCCTTCCCTTTGGAAATGTCCTGTATGTTGGTTTTAAGATCACATGAACAGACCAAACAGATAGTGTGAGTCCCACTACTGAATGTAACATTACAGTCATCAAATGTCTCACTGTAGTTTTAATCAAACACACAGCAGAAAGTAGTGCATTTGTTGGGGACTATTTTCAGCGGCGGATGAATACACAGTTAGTCCTCTAGTGAGTTTTTGGAGCTCTATGTCAAACAGGAAGTTGATATAACTGCTGTGACACAATGCTTATGATTTGATGCATTTGTTTATGTGAGATTTGTTGACAATTAAAGGTTCATTGCACAATAAGGAATCCTAATGGCAGATATTACGAGGGCCGAGACTTCCTGTCTGATGGTGTTGAAACTTCCTGTCCTTCCTTTGTTTATCTTCCTTCACTTTCTCTGCCTCCTTCTCCCCTTCCTGACACTTTTATTATGGTTTCTCACTTTCTTCCCTCACCCTCTACAACCTTGTTTACATCCTTCTCCCATCCTACCCTTCCTTCCTTCCCTCCTTCTTTTTCCATTCTCCTCCTCTAATGCCGATGCTTCGTTGGTTTGTTCGTTTGTTTGTTCGTTTGTTTGTTCGTTCCTTCCTTCCTTCCTTCCTTCTTCTTCCAATCTTCGAGAGGAAGAGAAAGAAAGAAGAGGAAGGAGGGGGGGAAGGCTTCGGGGGGAAGAAGGGGGTAGGAGAGAAGAGGAAGAGAAGCTAGACTCTCTCCTAAGGAAGAGGCGAGAAACATCGGAAGCCCCCTCAAAAGATAGTCAGCCGCCCCTGCCTCTCGCCGTCTCTCGTCTCAGCTCTCCTTCTCATCCCTACTCTCTCGCATCTCCTCTCACGTCCTCTCCTCTCCTCCTCTCCTCTCCTCTCCTCCTCTCCTCTCCTCTCCTCTCCTCTCCTCTCCTCTCCTCTCCTCTCCTTCCTGTCCTCCCTCCAGATGACATAGCGGGGCCTCAGCCTGGTCCCTTCCTAGTGAGTGTAATGGGCGCCTCCCTGCAGTCCCTCCCTCTTCCTCTCCCTCCTCCTCCTCTTCCCTCACACGCCACCATCCAGCACAGTCTCAGCCTCAATGGTAAGGCCAGTCCGAAAAAAACGTCATCACTTCCTGTCGCTGGGCAGGAAGGAGAAAAAACATCCAATCACATTTATCTAACACACGTTTCAAAACATTGTATGTGTCTTCTTGTTGTCAGTTTCCTTACACACAAATGAATATAAAATTCCACTTAACTTTAAAAATGGTCGACGTAGCACTCTTTTAAATGTCTGATATGTTTCCCCTGATACAGACGCCTTCCTCCGGGCCCTCCCCCACGCAGCCCCCTCCCCGATGGACGCCCCCCCCTCCAGACAGGCTCCGCCCCCCATGCTGTGTGCCCTGAGGCGATCTGAGGCCAGCAACTTCACCGCCAGCCTGCGAGAGCTGGAGAAGGTGAGAGGACATTATTATTGACTTATTATGACTTTTAAGAATGTTCTATAATAACATGCAATTACGTATCTGCCACTACGTTTTTTTGCACTACTAAATACTGTTAATATTGACTTAATTATGTGACCGTCTTTGTTTCCTGTAGATATTTAATTGCTCTTTTTACTGCACTGTTAGTTTTATTATTGTGCTGCTGTGTTTATTGTATTTTTGTAACTCTGGCACAACAATTTCCTTCGGGATAAATATAGTCCTATCTTATCTTATCTCCTACATTCACTCATTTTCATTAATGTCTATTATTCAGTTGATAGCATGTTTTGTGCAAAGTGTGGTGCAAATAATGATTATTTTCATTATAGGTGAATATGCTTCAAGGTTCAAGGTTCTTTATTGTCAATCTGACATAGCTACAGAGTAATTATGTAGTTGAAAATCTTATGTCACAGGCTTCTCCAACAATGCAACATAATAACATATTAACAATAAGAGCAAGAGCAATACAAAAAGAATAATAGTTATAAAATAAAATAAAGTGATGATGTGGAATAGTGCAGTACGAGTCTATATACAAGTTATTGGAATGATATATGCTGATTACATTCTCAGTTAACCGATACATTTCTGGTCGTAAAACATCAGAAAATAGTTGTTTTTTACATTCAAACTTAGTTTCTGCTTCAAAAGGTTTTTTTTGGTCCGACCAACAGTCCATAAATCAAAGGTATTCAGTGTCCTGTCAAAGTGAGCTGGAACCAGATTTCTATTTGTATTTGTGTGCGTTAAAATAGACAATGATTTGATTATCCACAACTGTGAGATTTGTTTGGGCTAGCTTCAATTTTAATTAACATGAGATCGAAGGGAAAGGAACGCTTCAGATGCATTTTGAATGGTATTAAAACTCTCTGTATCTCACTGTGGAGATATCAATGTCTGAAGAAGAGAACACTGACTTTCCTGCACATTGGAAGGTGTAGATTCCATGGAGTATAACAAGTAGGCTTTATTCAAGATTCAAGATTCAAGGCTTTTATTGTCATGTGTACGAAGCTGCAGTGTAGATATGAAACTCTGGGGTCACAGGCTCCTCCCACAGTGCAACACACTACAACTGATACAATAGTGCAAGTAAAATATAATAGAAATTGTGCAAGAATAGTCTCTTTTTTTAATTATCATTGGAGAGAAAGGAAAATAGCAGTTGTGCTTTTGTTAGTTGTAGTTGTTTTTATTGTCTTCATAAAGGTTTTGTTGTTGTTTAACCTCAGTGCGGCTGGTACTGGGGTCCGATGAACTGGGAGGACGCGGAGATGAAGCTGAAGGGGAAACCTGACGGATCCTTCCTGGTGAGGGACAGCTCGGACCCTCGATACATCCTGAGCCTCAGCTTCAGGTCGCAGGGCGTCACACACCACACACGCATGGAGCACTACAGAGGTGAGACACACACACACACACACACACACACACACACACACACACACACACACACACACACACACACACACACACACACACACACACACACACACACACACACACACACACACATACACACACACACACACACACACACATGGAGCACTACAGAGGTGAGACACACACACACACACACACACACACACACACACAAACACATATACATACACACACACACACACACACACATATACATACACACACACACACACACACACACACACACACACACACACACACAGACAGACACACAGACAGACAGGCAGACAGACAGACACACACACACACATGCATGGAGCACTACAGAGTTGAGACACACACACACACACACACACACACACACACACACACACAGACAGACAGACAGACAGACAGACAGACAGACAGACAGACAGACAGACAGACAGACAGACAGACAGACAGACACACACACATGCATGGAGCACTACAGAGTTGAGACACACACACACACACACACACACACACACACACACACACACACACACACACACACACACACACACACACACACACACACACACACACACACACACCACACACCACAGACGCATGGAGCACTACAGAGAGAACTTCACTTCCGTTTTTACTTTCTTAAAACTTTTAGGAACTTCAGTTTCCACTCTGTTGTTATTGTCCACATTACACATATAGCCCTGAATGACACACACATGCTGAAACAGGACATGTTCATTCACATGGATGGAGTCCCAGTCTAGAGTTCAAATGGGTCCTCACGGATAGAAGTGAAAGAGCAAAATATTGATCCAACTACCATGATAGAAGACATTTTTGCCCACATCAGAACACACTTATACTGTATCAGCAAAAAACATATTTACACAATTTCTTCTGCTGATTGTCGTTGTTTAATATTGTTGTAGCCTTTAAAACGCTGACGTTGACACAAACTAAAGGAGCGAAAGGAACAACAGAGCACAAATAAATCATAATAAACTCAAACACGATAATCCAATAAGGTCACACTACGACGCTGAAGCATTAATAACACCACATGCATATCTGCACACACGCCACATGTGTGACAAACTAACAAGGTGACTCATGAAAAATACCTTTGTAACCACACACACACACACACACACACACACACACACACACACACACACACACACACACACAAACACACACACACACACACACACACACACACACACACACACACACACACACACACACACACACACACACACACACACACACACACACACACACACACACACACACACACACACACACACACACACAGCCTTGCATACATAAACGAGGCTCTGCATTGTGAGTGAGTCATTATGAAGCTATAGAGTCATGCCCAGAAACACATTCATTATGCAGACGTGCAGCCGCGACTGACACAACACATTCACATCAACGTGGCCGAGTGTGCATGAACGCATCGCGGCATGACACACACACACACACACACACACACGTTATGTGTTTACTGTAATTATACACATGTTTCATAATGAATGCAGCTATGATTTATGCATGATCATAACATGCTACACGTGGAACATCAAGAACATACGTGGAACATAAAGAATAAACACATGTTCTCTCCCCCTCTCCAGGGACGTTCAGCCTGTGGTGTCACCCGAAGTTTGAGGACCGCTGCCACTCGGTGGTGGAGTTTATCGAGCGAGCCATCATGCACTCCAAGAACGGAAAATTCCTCTACTTCCTGCGCTCCAGAGTCCCAGGTAAAATATAGGTCAGAGATCTGCACGCAGCCCAAACGATCAAAAATGGATGTGAGCTGCCACTTAGTGAGAAGTGCCTGAGACCGTCTGTGCGTCTGAGAATGCATCAAATGTTTGTTTTTGTGTTCATATCAGAACTGGAAAAGTACTTTCTGCATGTGTGGAAGCACAGATCAGCTGATTGTAGATAGGGAGCTTTTATTTTTAAAACGTACAACACTTTTAGATGTTTTTTTGCCACATTAGCGTTGTGGCTAGTCAAATCATTTACAATAATTACATGGATTTCCAATGATCGTATAAAACACATTTTCTTAAGCTCTGTATTTAAAGGTGGGGTAGGTAAGTTTGAGAAACCGGCTCGAGATCGCTAGAATTTGAAAATACACAACCGGAGAAAATCTGCCACTTCCTTACAGAGCCCCTCCTCCAACACACACGAACGCACACATGACCAATGAGGGCACGAGATAAGTTTGTGCACAGATGGAAGGCTGACAGGCAGGTAGGCCATCCAGTTATTTTAGCCGGGCCGGCTCAGATGATTGGTCGTGCTTTTTACAGTACTACGGCTTCCACAGATGACATCTTTTTATGGATTTTTTGTCAAAGCACTTCAGATATTCATTGCTATCGGGATGTTAAGAGCATTCCATGAAATATAACAAAAAGTGTATCTCGAGCCGGTTTCTCAAACTTACCTACCCTACCTTTAAGTGCACATTTGCGGTACTTGTACTTGACCTTTTTACCCTTTTTACCCTTTTTACATCCCATAGGGAATAATAATAGGGGAAAAATAGTTATTATTACCCAGCATTTTATTTAATTCAATGCATTTATTCATTTATAGGTTTAAAAAATACAATGAATACAGAATATAAAATGGACTAGCCTTTAAAATTATTTTACTTTAATAAAATATTGCAAAACGTCTTCAACCCCTGATTCCCATGTCAGTTTGTGACCAGATATTCTCCTAAAAAAACACCTTTTATTTTGTCTTATTGCTTTGGTTTTGGGTTCAGATTTGAATGGCAGTTAAATTGAATAATATTAGATTAAGGATTACATTAAGGATGAATATAACAGTAGATCAAATCTTTTTATCCTCATTTGTATCCTTGTTGAGTCAAAAATAAGCTCCCTGGTTTTATTGTAATACCTGCTGCATCAAAAATCAATGAGTGAGCAGAGAGTCAAGTTTGGAGGCGTTTTATTGAGCAACAAATCCTCATTTCTCCTCCCACTCACTGATTTATGTTTTAAAATTCAGCTCACGGTTTGGTTTTTAAACATCAGCACTGAGGGAGGATTTGGAGATTTTGATAACTAGTATGCCAACGACAGGAAGAGGAATTAATCTGCTCATTCTCAGGTTCATATCTGTATTTAGTACCTCTACTTTAAAGAGTCCTCTCCTGCTGATGTTCAGGTGTATATCAGTATGTAGTGTCTCTACTTTAAAGAGTCCTCTCCTGCTGATGTTCAGGTGTATATCAGTATGTAGTGTCTCTACTTTAAAGAGTCCTCTCCTGCTGATGTTCAGGTGTATATCAGTATGTAGTGTCTCTACTTTAAAGAGTCCTCTCCTGCTGATGTTCAGGTGTATATCAGTATGTAGTGTCTCTACTTTAAAGAGTCCTCTCCTGCTGATGTTCAGGTGTATATCAGTATGTAGTGTCTCTACTTTAAAGAGTTCTCTCCTGCTGATGTTCAGGTTCATATCAGTATGTAGTGTCTCTACTTTAAAGAGTCCTCTCCTGCTGATGTTCAGGTGTATATCAGTATGTAGTGTCTCTACTTTAAAGAGTCCTCTCCTGCTGATGTTCAGGTGTATATCAGTGTGTAGTGTCTCTACTTTAAAGAGTCCTCTCCTGCTGATGTTCAGGTGTATATCAGTGTGTAGTGTCTCTACTTTAAAGAGTTCTCTCCTGCTGATGTTCAGGTTCATATCAGTATGTAGTGTCTCTACTTTAAAGAGTCCTCTCCTGCTGATGTTCAGGTGTATATCAGTATGTAGTGTCTCTACTTTAGAGAGTCCTCTCCTGCTGATGTTCAGGTGTATATCAGTATGTAGTGTCTCTACTTTAAAGAGTCCTCTCCTGCTGATGTTCAGGTGTATATCAGTATGTAGTGTCTCTACTTTAAAGAGTCCTCTCCTGCTGATGTTCAGGTGTATATCAGTATGTAGTGTCTCTACTTTAAAGAGTCCTCTCCTGCTGATATCAGGTGTATATCAGTATGTAGTGTCTCTACTTTAAAGAGTCCTCTCCTGCTGATGTTCAGGTTAATTTCTGTATTTAGTACCTCTACTTTAAAGAGTCCTCTCCTGCTCATGTTCAGGTTAATTTCTGTATTTAGTACCTCTACTTTAAAGAGTCCTCTCCTGCTGATGTTCAGGTGTATATCAGTATGTAGTGTCTCTACTTTAAAGAGTCCTCTCCTGCTGATGTTCAGGTGTATATCAGTATGTAGTGTCTCTACTTTAAAGAGTCCTCTCCTGCTGATGTTCAGGTGTATATCAGTATGTAGTGTCTCTACTTTAAAGAGTCTCTCTCCTGCTGATGTTCAGGTTCATATCAGTATGTAGTGTCTCTACTTTAAAGAGTCCTCTCCTGCTGATGTTCAGGTGTATATCAGTAGTGTAGTGTTCTCTACTTTAAGAGTCCTCTCCTGCTGATGTTCAGGTGTATATCAGTGTGTAGTGTCTCTACTTTAAAGAGTCCTCTCCTGCTGATGTTCAGGTGTATATCAGTGTGTAGTGTCTCTACTTTAAAGAGTTCTCTCCTGCTGATGTTCAGGTTCATATCAGTATGTAGTGTCTCTACTTTAAAGAGTCCTCTCCTGCTGATGTTCAGGTGTATATCAGTATGTAGTGTCTCTACTTTAAAGAGTCCTCTCCTGCTGATGTTCAGGTGTATATCAGTATGTAGTGTCTCTACTTTAAAGAGTCCTCTCCTGCTGATGTTCAGGTGTATATCAGTGTGTAGTGTCTCTACTTTAAAGAGTCCTCTCCTGCTGATGTTCAGGTGTATATCAGTATGTAGTGTCTCTACTTTAAAGAGTCCTCTCCTGCTGATGTTCAGGTGTATATCAGTATGTAGTGTCTCTACTTTAAAGAGTCCTCTCCTGCTGATATTCAGGTGTATATCAGTATGTAGTGTCTCTACTTTAAAGAGTCCTCTCCTGCTGATGTTCAGGTGTATATCAGTATGTAGTGTCTCTACTTTAAAGAGTCCTCTCCTGCTGATGTTCAGGTGTATATCAGTATGTAGTGTCTCTACTTTAAAGAGTCCTCTCCTGCTGATGTTCAGGTGTATATCAGTATGTAGTGTCTCTACTTTAAAGAGTCCTCTCCTGCTGATGTTCAGGTGTATATCAGTATGTAGTGTCTCTACTTTAAAGAGTCCTCTCCTGCTGATGTTCAGGTTGCATATCAGTGTGTAGTGTCTCTACTTTAAAGAGTCCTCTCCTGCTGATGTTCAGGTGTATATCAGTGTGTAGTGTCTCTACTTTTAAAGAGTCCTCTCCTGCTGATGTTCAGGTGTATATCAGTATGTAGTGTCTCTACTTTAAAGAGTCCTCTCCTGCTGATGTTCAGGTGTATATCAGTATGTAGTGTCTCTACTTTAAAGAGTCCTCTCCTGCTGATGTTCAGGTGTATATCAGTGTGTAGTGTCTCTACTTTAAAGAGTCCTCTCCTGCTGATGTTCAGGTGTATATCAGTATGTAGTGTCTCTACTTTAAAGAGTCCTCTCCTGCTGATGTTCAGGTGTATATCAGTATGTAGTGTCTCTACTTTAAAAAGTCCTCTCTCTGCTGATGTTCAGGTGTATATCAGTATGTAGTGTCTCTACTTTAAAGAGTCCTCTCCTGCTGATGTTCAGGTGTATATCAGTATGTAGTGTCTCTACTTTAAAGAGTCCTCTCCTGCTATGTTCAGGTGTATATCAGTATGTAGTGTCTCTACTTTAAAAGTCCTCTCCTGCTGATGTTCAGGTGTTATATCAGTATGAAGTTGCCTCTACTTAAAGAGGTCCTCTCCTGCTGATGTTCAGGTGTATATCAGTATGTAGTGTCTCTACTTTAAAGAGTCCTCTCTGCTGATGTTCAGGTGTATATCAGTATGTAGTGTCTCTACTTTAAGAGTCCTCTTCTGCTGATGTTCAGGTGTATATCAGTATGTAGTGTCTCTACTTTAAAAAGTCCTCTCCTGCTGATGTTCAGGTGTATATCAGTATGTAGTGCCTCTACTTTAAAGAGTTCTCTCCTGTTGATGTTCAGGTGTATATCAGTATGTACAGTAGTGTCTCTACTTTAAAGAGTCCTCTCCTGCTGATGTTCAGGTGTATATCATTATGTAGTGTCTCTACTTTAAAGAGTCCTCTCCTGCTGATGCTCAGGTGTATATCAGTATGTAGTGTCTCTACTTTAAAGAGTCCTCTCCTGCTGATGTTCAGGTGTATATCAGTATGTAGTGTCTCTACTTTAAAGAGTCCTCTCCTGCTGATGTTCAGGTGTATATCAGTATGTAGTGTCTCTACTTTAAAGAGTCCTCTCCTGCTGATGTTCAGGTGTATATCAGTGTGTAGTGTCTCTACTTTAAAGAGTCCTCTCCTGCTGATGTTCAGGTGTATATCAGTATGTAGCGTCTCTACTTTAAAGAGTCCTCTCCTGCTGATGTTCAGGTGTATATCAGTATGTAGTGTCTCTACTTTAAAGAGTCCTCTCCTGCTGATGTTCAGGTGTATATCAGTATGTAGTGTCTCTACTTTAAAGAGTCCTCTCCTGCTGATGTTCAGGTGTATATCAGTATGTAGTGTCTCTACTTTAAAGAGTCCTCTCCTGCTGATGTTCAGGTGAATATCAGTATGTAGTGTCTCTACTTTAAAGAGTCCTCTCCTGCTGATGTTCAGGTGTATATCAGTATGTACAGTAGTGTCTCTACTTTAAAGAGTCCTCTCCTGCTGATGTTCAGGTGTATATCAGTATATAGTGTCTCTACTTTAAAGAGTCCTCTCCTGCTGATGTTCAGGTGTATATCAGTGTGTAGTGTCTCTACTTTAAAGAGTCCTCTCCTGCTGATGTTCAGGTGTATATCAGTGTGTAGTGTCTCTACTTTAAAGAGTTCTCTCATGCTGATGTTCAGGTGTATATCAGTGTGTAGTGTCTCTACTTTAAAGAGTTCTCTCCTCCTGATGTTCAGGTGTATATCAGTATGTAGTGTCTCTACTTTAAAGAGTCCTCTCCTGCTGATGATCAGGTGTATATCAGTATGTAGTGTCTCTACTTTAAAGAGTCCTCTCCTGCTGATGTTTAGGTGTATATCAGTGTGTAGTGTCTCTACTTTAAAGAGTTCTCTCCTGCTGATGTTCAGGTGTATATCAGTGTGTAGTGTCTCTACTTTAAAGAGTTCTCTCCTGCTGATGTTCAGGTGTATATCAGTATGTAGTGTCTCTACTTTAAAGAGTCCTCTCCTGCTGATGTTCAGGTGTATATCAGTATGTAGTGTCTCTACTTTAAAGAGTCCTCTCCTGCTGATGTTCAGGTGTATATCAGTATGTAGTGTCTCTACTTTAAAGAGTCCTCTCCTGCTGATGTTCAGGTGTATATCAGTGTGTAGTGTCTCTACTTTAAAGAGTCCTCTCCTGCTGATGTTCAGGTGTATATCAGTATGTAGTGTCTCTACTTTAAAGAGTCCTCTCCTGCTGATGTTCAGGTGTATATCAGTATGTAGTGTCTCTACTTTAAAGAGTCCTCTCCTGCTGATGTTCAGGTGTATATCAGTATGTAGTGTCTCTACTGGGACATGTCTCCATGCTTTAATGTTCAAAAAGCTCTTTATTTTTCTCATACTGCCTGTGCTGCAGCACCTCTTTTCACCCTCTGTCTGAAACCAGAGCCCAGTCTGCTCTGATTGGTTAGCTGGCCAGCTCTGTTGTGATTGGTCAACCGCTTAAAGATGTTCCTACATCACGTACAATGTGTTGGAGCACTAGCCTTACATAGCGATGTCATTATGCCCCGAAAGTAAACAAAAGAGTACAATGGTGGCGTTTTAGGAACAGTTTTCACCCTGTTGTTTTTTTACACATTACAAGCGAGCGCAAGTGTTACATACTGTAGTGACGTCATTATGTTCGCAAAGTAAACAAAGGAGTCCAATGGAGGTGTATAAATGAATAATGAATATGTGTGTGTGTTGCAGGGCTTCCTCCCACCCCGGTCCAGCTTCTGTATCCTGTTTCCCGCTTCAGCAACGTGAAGTCTCTTCAACATCTCTGTCGCTTCTGCATTCGACAAATGGTCCGCATCGACCACATCCAGGAGCTTCCACTGCCCAGGTACTGCTTGAAAACTACAGAAAAACAGTTAAATATTCACCTGATGTTGACCATTTTAAAACCCAGAGGGGATGCTGGATATCTGCTTGTATCCCTCCATACATCAGAAGATGCAGTGAATGAGAATAGAAAACAAAACCAATTTTCGCCATGTTTTGAGGGATAAAATGTGCCAGAAATCGGTCTCTTAATGATGTGTGACAAGCCTTTAAAGAAATTCCACACATTTTGATATAAAATACATTTGAATAAGGTACGAAATGTAAGAAATATACGTAGGAGAATTTTCTTTTGTATTAAAAGTTATTTTTAGACGGTTTGTTTACTTATGGAAGTTAGGCTTTATGGTTATGTTATCCTAACTTTTGCTGAATTTAGAGTTTCAGACATCGTTCATTTAGAACAATTAAACAATTCTTTACATGCAGAAATATCTGATTGTTGTTTTTCCCCTTCTTTCCTCAGACCGCTAATATCGTACCTGAGTAAGTTTTATTACTACGACCCTGAGGAGGAGACGTACCTGTCCATCAAGAGCGTCCGGAGAGGGGGGGGGCGGGCAGGAGGCCGAGTCGCAGACGTAGCAGCAGAGATCCTCGCAGCTCAAGTGAGGAAATATAAAGTATAATTATATATTTAACTGACATGACACATCAGATTGACACACAACTAACTCATTAGAAATGTCTATTAGAGATAGGAACATGTGAACGCAGCTTTAAACTAACTTGAAACTCTCACAGATTCAAATATTCAGAGGCTTTTTTGTCATATGCACAATTTTTGGCAAGGAAAATATTAGGTGTCAGGCTCCTTCAACAGAAATAATGTAAGAATAGTGCAAGAGAATGGTGCAATGACACATCAGATTGACACACAATTAACTCATTAGAAATGTTTAGTATAGATAGGAACATGTGAACGCAGCTTCGTTTAAAGGGGACCTATCATGCAAAATGCACTTTTTGATGTCTTTTATACATAAAGATGTGTCCCCGGTGTGTCGTGGAACTCACGCAGCGTCAGAAAATAAAACCCTCTCTCTTTTCCTCCGTACCCAAATCTCTAAAAACGGGCTACAACGGAGCTGATCCAGATTTGCGTCCGATATGACGTAATATCTGAAATGTGGACCCACGGCCCTATCAGAAACGTTGCTATCAGAAACAATGCCGACTGTTTTGAACGTAATATGGTCGGTGTTTACATTAGCATCGCTAACACTCAGAGCTAACCTGTACTGGAGAGCATGTGTGTGAAGAAGCAGGAAATAAAAAGGAACTCACCTTGTGGTATAATTGGCAAGAGAGAAAGCCTTTGAGCTCCATACTGTTTCAGAAATAATCCTTGATAATCCATGATATGGCGTTTCATCACGGCAGTATTTGGTTTAGACAGTAGCTGCCGGGTCCCGCATGAGCTCAGACCCCTCCTTTTTATTTGTATCAATATTTTTTTTATTTTAAAGCTTTATACCCAGAATCAGCACTTTTGAAACAGGAAGTGAAATAGAGGGATATGAGGCATGGCTAGAATGGGTGATCTGTTTGGTATTCTGAGCAAAACACTTCGTAGACTTCATATTTTTTTATATATCTGAGACCTATGCTATTGCCTAAAAATAGCATGATAGGTGACCTTTAATTTACCTTAAATCTCAAGGTTTCAAATATTCAGAGGCTTTGTTGTCATATGCACATTTGTTGGCAACGAAAATATTAGGTGTCAGGCTCTTTCAACAATGCTAACATGCTATCCTTGAGACATAAATAGAAATAGTATAAGAATAGTGCAAGAGACACAATTATGCTAGTAAAATGCAAAAATAATTGAACTGTATGCATGTAAAATGAAAGAAAACATACAGTTATATACTATGCAGTGGAATCAAATGTGTATTGTAATAATATAAACATGAATTTGTAGACTCCAAACAGATGTATGTTTTATATGCAGGGGACACAAGTAAAATGCAAAGTAGGTAAACGATGTAAAGTGAAAAACAGAGCAAGATTATTTTGTAATTATGAATAAATTAAAAATTAAAAAGTAGATATTTATCTCCATCTTCCAGTAACATGCAGAAATAAAGTCAACCATATACAGTGAAATATAGAGCAAGTTAAAAAGATTATGTACATTTTTTAATATTTTCCTATTGTAAAAAATAGTTCATAAATACCAAAATAAACACATAAAAAAAAATATATATATATATATGTAGAGTGTTATGAGATGACTATGTTCTATGTAAGAGGTTTAATGATGCAGGTTTGATGCAGGTATAATCACAAACGACTGTAAACAGATGTTTGTGTTCCATGCAGGAGACATAGGTTTGATAATAAACATTTCTACCCGTGTCTCTGCTCAGGTTTGTGAATGGAGGACTGATCTGAACTGGTCTGCCAGTCTTCCAGCATCAGCCAATCACAGTCCCTGGATGTCTCCGTGTCTCCGGTCGGACTCGGACGGACGCGCCTCTCTCTGGACTCGGACTAACTTAAAAAGACGGACGAGTGTTTGCAGCGGGAAAAACTGTCAGTGAGACATTCAGGTGCAGAGGACTCAGCCTCGTCTTCAGAGGGACTGACGAGACGTTCTCACCTGAGAAAACATGTGGAAACTAAAAGGAGGAGAAAAAGAGGATTACGATGAACTTGATTTTTCTGATGCTACTGATCTTGGACTTTTAAAAAACACACAATGCACTGGTCGATTTGTACAACTGTTGTTTGCTGCCGTTTCCTTGTTTTTTCCTTCCATGCTGTCAAAAAGAGAGTTTTGGGATTAAGAGATATACACACGACGAGGCCGGGCATTCACACACTCGAGGGGTCAAAGACGGACAGGCCACCATGTTGGAGGGCCTGTAATCTCACTAAGGTTACCCTGTTTTTATTTGTTAAAAGAAATGGAATCTAAAAGGGAAACTTCAGCTTCAAAGTGAACATTTGTAAATATTAATCTCACCCCGTGACCTTAAACTCACATGCCTCCATGGGGGATTAAGAGTCATGAAATGGAGAAAAGTCGTTATGATTTGAAGTAAATAAGTAAATATGAAATCTATAAATGATGCTATGAATGATATATGAACACACCCCTATGTAAAAACCTTTAGAATATTTATAAGAATATATTTGAAAAGTGTGGTGAATGGAAGTGATAGTTAAGTGGAGATTCATGGCTCAGAGTAAAACAATATTTAACGAAAATATCCTTTAAAATATTGCAGAAGAATAGAGTTAATAAAACAATATCACCATGAAACTTCTCCACTTTATCACTTACATTTTGACCATTTTTTATTGTATTACAAGCTTTATTTAAGGTTATGTCTGGGCGCTGCAACAACAGGAGAACTATATTAAAACATCCTTTTACAAAATGTCACACAACAGGTGCAATATAATCCAAGTCTACACACAACAATTAGGAAAAATAAATGTTTTGTGTGAGAATTTTCACCATTTTTAGATAATTTGTTCGCCGGTGGAGGCATGTGAGAAAAAGAATGTCTTTTTAAGAATTCAAGGGTGAACCGGGGTCATTCATTGTTATACAAATGGTCCTTTTGGGGGTGAAGAAGTCTTTTAAAATGTTAGCAACAGTGCTAATGGAATGCTAATAGCAAAGAGACATATATGACAGAAATACGTGGAAGGGTTCTTCTCAGAGGGAAGATTTTACATCATAAACATCTCAACCTTTGAATGTTTTTTAATTGTGTTTTTGAGCCTGATTGTATTGCAAAATTGTCCTTTCATTTTCACTTTAGCAAATGAGTCCAAGACTGGGCTTTCTGTGTCTGCAAAAGGGTGTTTTTCTCAACTCAACACTAGTGAGTGATGAACTTGTCCCACTGAGGTCACTTTAAATGAAATGGAAACCACAGTTGCTAGAACAGATAACGTATTTGTTATACCTAATGAAAAACAGGCAGATGTAATCCACTAACAACAACCGGAACATCTGAGTCAAGCTCATCTGTTCTTGTCACCATTTTCTGTCTCCATTTAGCTAAGGTGCCATGTAGAAATGTGACTTTTCCCCACTTCAAATCTCACATGCAAAGCTTAAATATTCAGCCTGCAGAAACAGCCTTAAATGAGCACAACCGCAGATCTTTTTAAATCCCCAAAACAATCCAAATCCTGACCTCCAGCATCTCTTGTTTTACAGACCGTCATCAAGCCCTGATCAGGTCACAGGAATCTGACCTTTTGTTTTTCTCCCTCTAACATGATAGATTTTTAGTTGATGTAGTCGCCTAAACATCTCATCTCTATCCAATGAAATGATAGGTTCAGAAAATAACATCTTGTTGCTTTGTGTCCCTCAAATTTGGATGTTTCATGCACTTTAGGAATGTAAAGTGATTTCCTACATTTCCCAGAATGCCTCTTGGCGACCTTCAGATGAGCATTGTTGTTTGAAATCATATAATACATATAGCAAACTTGTCGCCCAATTATAATAATTAAGTTGCCTTTGATACTAATAGCACAACATGTCCTTGAGTTGCAATGCATTCTGGTACATTGAGGCTTATGTTGGTAGATGACTTGGTAATATTGATCACTATGACATAATTTTAACATTTATAGTAGCTGGAAAAACACACCAAAGATACGAATATCTTCAGAAATGCAATTAACAAAACAAACAGCTGATTTTAACAAAGTTGTATTTAATATAGCCACCTCTCTGAATGCAAAAAATGAAAACGATGTCACTTTTTATTGTTGAGATTATATAAATTATTTATTTATTATTTATTAATAATGCACTTATTGTTGATAGGTAGAACACAGAACAGAACATTGTTAGATTCAGAGGTAAGAGAATGATAAGGGTAATTGTCTTTCTGAATTCAATGTTATGGTACCAGGAGTTTAAAAGCCCACATTTTTTTCCCAGAATGCCCTGCCTCAGAGTGTGTGTACCTGCCGTGACTCATCTCTACCTGTCGGATTTATTTGTTGAAATGCCCAGGTGTGTTTTGCTCATTCTATTTCTCAGTACCCTGACGCTGGCTACTGGCTCAGCGCTTTCAGTAAAAAATCAAGAAAAATAAACTTTGCTGTGTGGGATCATTTTTAAATTTGGATATTTGAAGGTGATGGATATTGCAGAGTTCATCATTTGATAAGGATATTGGAAATATTGAGGACCTGTTGCCAAGCCCAGAAAGGTTAACCCAAAGCTTTCTGCACATTTGTTGACATATTTAGCTAGTTACGTGTAGATGAAAACAAAAATGGATGTGAAGATGTTTCTCCAAAAAGCCAACATTTCATTCACAGCCGTTAACATTGAAAAAGATAACAACATTAGGTCCAATTTACTTTTTTTCCCCCAAAGCTTTTTACCAGTGGATATGGCTGTTCAAAAATCGTATTTAAGTCAAAGCAAAACAGTGTATACTTATAAATCTAAAATACCCCAAAAATAAGTACTCATTACATGTGAAATGGCCCAATTCAGTTATATATATTCAAACAGATATACTTTTACTGTTGTTTTTTTTGTTCTTCTTGTGTGTCAGTCATCCACACCAATCAGAAGTGCTGTGCTCCAC